CCATCAAATGACCCATGTGATTTATCTCCATCAAAGGGAGATAAGTGCATTCTGTATCAGAAGACATATTTAAGATCAAGATATTATGATTTATATGTATTAATATTTATTACGTTAAAGATATATCTATTTCTAAAATATCTGGAATGAATAAAAGAAAGGTAAGAAGTTGATTGCAAAACAAATAAAGAAGATTTCAAATGAGAGAAATAATTTTATCCAAATAAAGAAGAGAAAGCAAAAAGACAAAAGATGAAGAAAAAAAGGACAAGTATATTAAAAGAAAGAAGAATGAAATAAAATTGGATCTCTGGTAATGGTTAGTGGCTCGGATTTTGGAATTGGGGAGCTGAGTTCAAATTCCAGTCGAATCCATTACATTTCACTTATGTGCTAATACCCTTGGGAAAGGTATGAATCCTCTTCTTCTTCCCCCAGCTATGGGTAAATAGCAGGACAGACTAGGTTCTATAGCCTTGGATGGCAACTGGTCTTGGAGAAGGACAACTCTGAATTCAAAACCTGCGGAGAACCATTTGGGACCTTGTGTGTGGCACACACACACACACACACACACACACACACACACACACACATATATATATATAGTAATTTGGGGAAAAAAACCCTTTAAACTTCTTTCTTACTAATGGAATATGAAATGAATGAGGATAGTTTGATTCAGTGCACATGACATGGCAGGCTGTGAAGGTCACTCAACTGGTGGAACTAATGAATGTAGCTTGGCAGCAAGATTCTTGCAATGTTTCTGGAAAATTCATAATTCATAATTCATCACCCACAGGTTGGGCAAATACTTTTAAACTCTATCAAGACTGAAGAATAAAGATGGTGCAGCTCCAGTTGACATATGAAAGAATTCCATTTTCAGTCTGATCTGGCTTTATGTAAAGCAGGAGGAGTTGGATACTTACTAGAGTTGTACAGCTATGGATAAATAGCAGGGCAGAATGAGTTCTATAGCCTTAGATGGCAACTTGTATACTGCAGAAAGAAATGGCAACCTACTGAAGGAAAAAATCTGCCTCGTCAGTCATGTATCAGAAGATACATGATTGCCTAAGTGTGTATCATGCATGGCACATAACTGACTGACTTTATATTAACACTCTGCCAAAGAGGATTCTCATAGGATTAGTGAATATCTATTTTGATGATACAACAGTTTATCTTCAAAAATCAAAATGTTTTGAGCCTTACAGCTGATCTCTAAGCTGACTTAGCTCTAACAGCTCAATAGAAAAAAAAATGGCTTGTAATTTTCAATATCTCTAAAATCAACATATTATCATTTCATTATCACTGATTGGACCCTGAACCTTCTCCAATCATGATGAAGAGTTACACTCAAAACTCAATGAAGCTTCTTTACTTGAATGTCTATTGGGACTCAAGTTCCCTCCAGGCCTCAAGTGGAACTTTATATAGAATCCATTTCTAAAGATGCTAGGAAAATGGTCATCTGATTCTTCAGCATTTGACTCCTTCTGCCTTGCTTTATCTGTAGACGAGTCTGATCAGACCAGAAATGAAGATCTCAGCTGCAGCTACTCAGTCCCCATTTTCAAGTTTTGAGTTCCAAATTGTTTATATAAACTTTTAAGGGAAAAACTTATCTTTCACCTTACAGCCCCTTTTCCATAAATGAAATCTTGCAAGCTTATCACTACTCTGTTCCTATTTCCTTGGCAAATGTTTAAATGAGCAACATTCCTTAGTTCCATCGGGTCAGACCTTCCCAGGTAAGTTTTTTGCTACTCTATCACTATTGCCATGGCAAATGTTCAGACAGGCAACATTTCTTAGTTCCACCAATTCAGGCCTTTACATCTAGGACCACCATATCATGTATACAGGGTCAAATTGCCCTCATTCCTCCTGTGTATCACAATGGTAAGAAGGATGTTCCACTCCAAAAGCTTCTTCCCAAGAACTTCTATTTTGTAGAACAGACTTCTATGTTGGTTCTTCCCAAACAGTACAATCTTAAACTCTTCAGTTCCATGGTGAATTCTTATCTACCTCATAATCTTCACTTCCTGCATCCTCCTTTTATGTTCATATCATCCATTCTAATTCATTAACCCGCTACCTTGATTGGCTCTTAGGGCTTATATTGAGTGAAGTTTGGTAAAAAAAATATAAAGGTGGAATGAAATAAGAAAGAATGTCAAAGTAGATATAATGTTCAAATGAAAAGGAATAAAAACAAGGAAATAGAGAAATTGAATAAAAGAAGAAGAGGAAAGAATAGCAAAAGAAAAAAAAAAACTGTAAAGAACCATAAAGAAAAAAATAATAAATGAATGAATAAAAATAATTTTAAAAAATGCCAGGGAAAATAATAAAATTCTTTCCTTGATGTAAAACAGAAATGATTTTGAAAAATAGAAGCTGAAAAATGTAAATTAGGACTTTGCAATCGAGACTTTGCAAATGTATCTAAAAGAGATTTTAAGAGAGATGAAATAAGAAATTCTAATTATAGAGTCTATTGGAAATTATACTCATGAAGAATAAGTTTTATGCATTTTTCTGAGTTTATTTCCAAAAGAAAAAAAAACATTCCAAAAAGTTTCAAACAATGCATTATAGTTATTGGAAGGAAGTGCAAAAAGGAAAATGGATGCAGACATTTACCTCAAGCATTTCAAAACAACAGAGTTGGAAACGAAATTTATTTATTTGCTTTCCAACATTGATAAATAAAAACTTTAAATTTATTTATTTGTTTTCCAACATTGATAAATAAAAACTTTAAATTTATTTATTTGTTTTCCAACATTGATAAATAAAAACTTTAAATTTATTTATTTGTTTTCCAACATTGATAAATAAAAACATTAAACTTTCTTACACATTACAAAGAGCAAGTATACGACAATTCAATAAAGGGGGAAAGAAATTACTGAAGTGCTGGAAGAGGATAATAAATATTTATTTAAAAAGGAAAAACTGAGTTTGGTTTTATTAAATCACAGGCTTTTCAGAACAATATAACTAAAGTTGAATTGTTTTTCTCTAATAAATAAAAAAAAAAAAAAAGGATTCAAAATTCAATTAAATAAAGAAAAACAGAAAATAACACCTGAATGTCAAAACTGGCAGTAATAAATACTTATGAAAAGCAAGGCATAATGATTTCTTCATTGTAAAAGAGATAATCAAGAAAAAGAAAAAGTAAGCTCACTTAGAGTATGTCTGCAAGTGGGGGAGATGAAAAGTCATTGTCCTGACAGAAGCCATTCCAAAATGAATTTTACTGTTTGTTCATTTGGTTAAATTTAGGAAGTAGGTTTAAGCAAGTGCTTTTCATTACTCCTAGAATGTACATGTGGTATAAAACATGGCAAGTCAGAATGAGTAATTGGAGAATTGAGTTCAAATTCCAGTCAGATTTGTTGCAATCACTTATGTACTGATACCTTTGGAAAAGGTATGAAGCCATTTCATCCTCCAGCTATGGGTTAAATAGTAGAACTTATATCAAGAAAAATCATTGTTATTCTCAAAAAATTCTTAATGCAATATTAACTCACTAAAAAAAGAATTATTCTTACAATTAAAAACATGTTTCAGCTTTAAATAACAAACAAAGGATTGATAAGCCATAAAAAATACAAAAAAAATTAATCAATGAATTCAGCATCCTCCTCATAATAATTGTATCTTAATATTTAATCCAGATTTTGGTTGCAGATGATAGAATTTGTTTGCATTATCACAACCAATATCCTCCAAATGTATTTATGTCTTTCTTTTTTCATTTCTTTTTTTCATTTTTCCTTTTTTCATTCCTTTTTTTCATTTTTCCTTTTTTAATTCCTTTTTTCCATCTTTCCTTTTTTTCATTTCTTTTTCTTATTTTTCTTTTTTCATTCCTTTTTTTTCTATCTGTCTTTTTTCTATAGTTTTTATTTACTTTTTTCCATTTTTATTTTTGATTCATTTTCCATCTTTCTTTTTCATTCCTATTCTTTAACTTTCATTTTTCATTCCTTTTTTTTCATCTTTATCTAAATTTTTCTTTTTTCTTTCCTTTTTTTCATCTTTCTTTTTTACCTTCCTTTTTCCTTTCTTTCCTTTTTTTCCATTTTTTCGTCCATTACTTCTTTGTTTAATGTTGCTAATTTGAATTTAAATCTCTTTGAATTCAAATTTG